ACGACCACCAGACAACACTTCCTATTTCTTTGATCGCCCATTCAATTAATTGTCTCGACATCGTTCAGAAGTGAAGAATGAGGAATAGAAATTCTCATCCATCGGCCGCCCGATCCCAACTTCATCCAATTTAATATGGCCGGTCAGGAATCACGAAAAACAGACACGATCCACTTTCTTCGGTCTTTGTGTCTCGAATATCGAGTCCCGCTTGCCGTCCGTTTGCGGCTCAATGGCTTCGAACCCGGACGATCGGTCGAAGCGTTTCACCCTAACGAGCGCTTTAATTTCTGCCCCCTTTCCACGCCATTTGCCGTGGAGAGAAAAGGGTCTCGATGAAAATCACGACAGCATGACACAAATCTTTCGGCCTCATTCGGTTATCTGGTTCGATGGTTCATTCAGGGATCCCTCCAGCCAGCTTCATTCATTTTATCATTCTGCTTGCTTCGCCTTCTTTTCATATTTTTTTTTTTTTTTATCAAAGTGAAGGGGCTCGTAGGTTTATCAGGATTTGCAAATGTGAAAAACTGAATGGACGTTGATTCTTTCTAATTTGTACTAAAATCGGTGACAGTACGCAAAATCGACTGGTAACGATCTAGCCGCGATCGTTTATCAGCTTGTATAAGAAAATGGGTTCGGTTTAGGGGTCATCTTGCGGCAGACGCTAGAACTACCGTGAGACTCGGTTTGTTTTTCAGCCTCAAAAATGAATTGTCGACCATTTTTGGGTGAGAAATGCATCTTATGCCAGTAGATTATATCAGTAGATTCATGGACTACCATGAACTTAATGATTCCCTTGAAAATAGAAGATGGGATCTTTGAATCTTGAACGTAATCTGTGACGAAGTACCAGGGAAATGATTCTCTTGCTGACTCAAGTCCACATATATTGCGACATGGAGGTCGTTCCGCGACTTGGATCATGATCCACTTACCGTAAAAGGTAATAAAAACCCTTTCTGCCCGGTTTTTCGAGGCCCTGATTGGAAGGGATCGACGGTAACGCAGCGTTGTTTCGGATCGTTCTATCGTAAACGGTTCATCGATACTTCGGAACGATTTATCGTTGAATAGTACGAGGGCATGGTATTATTCTCAATTTTCTTCTTCATCAGAAACTAGTAATTGAAGTGTTTCATAGATATCGACTAACTTTTGTTAAGGTCTTCAGAGATTCTGATAGTTTTTAAAAAATGAGATAGCCTACACAAGGATCTCTTCAAAGTTACTTCCCAATTTTTTGAAACCCCCCGGACACCAAGGTCTCTGTCTATCAGAAACGATACGAATCCCATCCCATCATCGTCAAGCCATCCATCTTGAAAGACGATAACCACCATCCCCCTGTCCCACGTTGCAGCCTCACTTTCAGCGTCTTATCACGAGGGCTATCTCGAGCTAATATTATTTCAACGGGTCGCGTGTATAGCCCCCACACCAGCCCTCATCCGATACTCGAATCCCCCAAGCGCACGATAGGCTTCTAAAAGATTTCGCAAACGAGTGCTTCGACGGAACTCTGCGATCACCTGCTTGTAGTCGGCCGGTGTTTGGACGAACTGGCAAGAAAGACGATCCATCATCTTGTCTTGATTTTACGAGGGCAGGATTTCCATGGAATCGATCAGCAGTCTTTTGTATGCGATTCTGTACAGGCTCCTCCGAGCTAACGTTATTCACCCGTGACACTGTGTTTTTAATTGAATGTTCCTCGGGTCGTGAAACAGAATCCGGAATCATGAATTTCCAGATTATGGTGGCACTGTCAAGATCTAGGAACACTTACGTTAGACACCTCGTTCAGACAATAGTGACCTCAAAATGTCTTCTGATGTCTTGGGTCACATTTTGGTCGAGCGAATTGTCAAGCAAACGGCGGTGTTTACCTTGCAATTAATGCGAGTCGCGCAGACGAGTTCTTGAACAAATAACAGGAGAGGCAAAGCCCTTCAGGGGCTGCGCAGGGTCAGCCGGGCAACACGGGAACTCATCGGATCGCCTTGCAGTTCGGACGTGAAATTGGTTTGTCAACCGAGTGAACCCTTCGTGTGTGATCCTCGGGATTCCCGACATCTGGCCAGACGATCGTGAGACAATTCCGTGCGGGTCGTCGAGCACGTAAAACGCTCCGTAAGATTCTAACGGAAGAGACAGAAAAATGAGAGACAGCCCCAGAGCGAATCTCTTGTTTTGGAATTTTGGGATCGCTGATAGTGGCTCTCAAGTTCGTTTCCATGATCGACGTTTCGCTTAAGGAGTTCGTCTTCTAATAATATGACATATCCTTACTGTCTAGGTCTATTTCAAATCCTCTTTCGCTGGCCATTCTAGAATATTATATTATAAACCTATATTATCTCATTATCCAGGTTTTAATTTTCTACGGTTTCGACTCGATTATTTTGTGAGCCACTGACCCACGATGAACGCAAGAGTCCCTGTAGGGGTGGAGAGAGTTGAAAGATAAGAGCACGGTCGATGAACCACTTTTGGTAGAAGGAAGCTGGAAGTCCATATGTCCGCGGGAAGTAAATAATACAGGAGCTCCAGGGGTATAGTCGACTTGACCAGATGGTTAGCGGGGGATGAACCCACCCCCGCATATTCGGTGAATATATGAAACTCAGTCTCGATCTGGTGCTGTTCCGCTTCGTCTGTCCCGGAAAATAGAAAATTTTTGCTCAATTGCCTTTTTTTTTCATTCTTTTCTCATTCTTTTTTCCTGCAGCTGATGATCATTTTGGGAGACACTACATTACAGAGAACACTTGGTCACCTAAGTACCTTCATACTTTGGGAAGAACAGTTTTCTGGTAGACTGATGTCTGCCACTAGAGGACTTTGATTTTTCATGATCAATTGGGTTAAACTCTTTCTAGGGTCTCTTGATAGGGGATCCTTATAGGGACTCATCCTAGATTCTCTTGTAAGACATTGCTGTAATGATAAATCCTCTTGATAGAGGATCCTTGTAGGGACCCATCCTAAGGTCTCTTGTAAGACATTGCTGTAATGATAAGTAGGAGCAAAACTTATTTCTGCTGCTGGGGGACCTTGATATTTCATGATTAATTGGGCCAGTTTTTCTAGGGTCTCTTGATAGGGGATCCTTATAGGGACCCCTCATAAGGTCTCTTGTAAGACATTGCTGTAATGATAAGTAGGAGCAGAACTCATTTCTGCTGATGGAGGACCTTGATATTTCATGATGAATTGGGCCAGTTTTCCTAGGGTCTCTTGATAGGGGATCCTTGTAGGGACCCATCCTAAGGTCTCTTGTAAGACATTGCTGTAATGATAAGTAGGAGCAAAACTTATTTCTGCTGATGGAGGACCTTGATATTTCATGATGAATTGGGCCAGTTTTCCTAGGGTCTCTTGATAGGGGATCCTTGTAGGGACCCATCCTAAGGTCTCTTGTAAGACATTGCTGTAATGATAAGTAGGAGCAAAACTTATTTCTGCTGCTGGAGGACCTTGATATTTCATGATTAATTGGGCCAGTTTTCCTAGAGTCTCTTGATAGGGGATCCTTATAGGGACCCATCATACTCTTGTAAGACATTGCTGTAATGATAAGTAGGAGCAAAACTTATTTCTGCTGCTGGAGGACCTTGATATTGCATGATTAATTGGGCCAGTTTTTCTAGGGTCTCTTGATAGGGGATCCTTATAGGGACCAATCATACTCTTGTAAGACATTGCTGTAATGATAAGTAGGAGCAAAACTTATTTCTGCTGCTGGAGGACCTTGATATTTCATGATGAATTGGGCCAGTTTTCCTAGGGCCTCTTGATATTTGGATCTTCCTAGGGACTCTTCCTTGCATCAGTGTCCTACAAGAGACCCTAGGATGAGTATAAGGATCCCCTATCATGGGACCCTAGGAAGTCTTTAGCCCAACTGATAATGAAAAATCATGGTTCCCCAGCAGTAGAAATAGGTTTTGCTAGCTGAATGTAAGACAAGGTATATGAGAATACTAGATCTTTGGTACTCTTACCTCAGCCTAATAAATTGCATACGCAAAATGTCATCAAGAAGGGGAACAGCTCTAAGGATCCGTCCTCCGATGACAAGCTGCCCGTCAGTCGCCCAGGAAAGCATCGTGGCGCAGAATTTCGACTCGCCATAAATATTCTTCAAAGGGGAAACATACACATCCCTCTTCCGGCTTTCCGCGATCCGCGTCGTTGCCTTTTCTTACGTAAACGCACGGAGATCGGAACATGATCCTGCGGGACTCTTTGATCTGCCATTCCGTCTCTCCGTCGGGATGACGTAGCCTGCCCGGGGGTTGCCTGTGTACCGCGGGGTTATGAATTATCTTTCCCGTATTTTCTTCGGTGAAAGGTCGAGACGGAGCGAGGCCACGTCGAGGCAACGACGAGGCAGATTGAACGACGCGACGAGATAATATGCATCCACCGGCGCAACCGGGTGTGGGGGGGGATGTTTCTGTTAAATTTCACCGGTTCGCCAAGATAAATTGAGAGGAAAAGCTGCTCCGACGTGGAGCCATCCGCAGGCTTCTGTCTTCCGTTCGTTTCTCGTGAAGATCACGGGTCGGTTTTAGATGTATGAATCCACTCGTGATCCGTTTCTATGATGTTACTCTTTATTGTCACCTGCTTTGAAGGATGCTACCTTAAGTATTTTTAGTCTGGGAATTAGACTCGGGTATTCGTGGTCTTGTTATCGCGGTTTTCGTGGCGAGAATTAAATGTGTTTCCAGGCTAGGGGGATCCCAACAAGCCGCTTTGGGCTGGTGCTAGGTGGTATTAGTTCAACTGAGTTGCTTAATCTTTGGCCAGCGGTCAGTGAAACAACACGGTGGATATTGGTCAGTCCTGACCCATAGCCAAATCTGCCTGGGTTTAATGTACAATATTGTTTGTTGCTTACGCTGGTAACAACCCGATCTTCCACCATTGATGCTACTTTTACCTGCTTCTTAACTTCACGTTCTCTTCTTTTTCTTTTGTTACAGAGGGGCAGCGACGAGCTTCTGTCGCAGAGCGGAGCGGTCAGCAATGGTGCTGCGATGAGCCCACAGCCACATCACGCGGCCGATAACAACAATGATGCCAAGAAGGTAGGCGGAAGAGTAAATTTTATTCCCGTTAATTATTACAAGACACGTTCGTCATTCAAGCTTGTGTCAAAATGGCCCCCATTTGATGCCCATTTGAGTCCAGAAGATCATGACGGTTCACTATAAATAACCACGTTATAAGTGAATGATAGTATTATCGAATAAGGCTGCTAAACAATTTTCTCTCTATTTAGAATTTCTATTTCAAACGTGTTCTGTCTTCGAACAATAATCCACGCAAACGATAAGGCCAGCTTCATTGAAATCGGAGCTATGCCCTTTTGGATCCTTGCGTGTCATATTATTTTTCCGGGGAGAGCTGCTAGTTTTCGACCTCCCTGTGATCCGTCCTTTTTCTGCGCTCCATTTTTCAACGACAACGAACAGTTGACAATGAAAACGCGCGTGACGCACAATAAGCCCCAGAGAACCCTGTCTCCGGGCGGAGATTCGGATGTGCGCTGACCCCCCTTGAAGTACGTCCATTGAAATCGGACCGGTCTGTTTTCCGCCTCGTCTGCCCTCTGACCTACTCGATCTTTCCGCGATCACCGAAAAAAAATCTCGTCAAAAGGACACGCGCGCGTAACGCCGATCAAAGCGATTGGACCTTCTGAAAAGTAATTTGATCGTAGCCCGACTCTTGCTACACGCTTCCGGAACGTCTGATAATTGGCCGCCTCGCGCGAATCCAGCACAGATAATCGGTCTCCGTTCTGCCCTAGTGACGATGCTTTCATGTCGGCGTGCAATAGATTCTGGCGAATAAAAGTGAATTTTTTTCCCTACAAGTACAGTAAATCCTCGATGAGTGTCCGAAGGTTCCTCGGCGTTGAACATTAAATATTTCATAAACTAATGGTACCATTAGCTTCATAATTACAAGCTTTATCACTGTGCTAAATCGTATGAAAAAATCAACGTTACACCTGGGGACCTTTCCTCGCCAATGCCGAAAACACTTATCGATGATTTACTGTAGATAAGCGATACTTCGTTATTACAATAAGATTTCTTTTCATGGTGTTCTGTTTACTGATGCAGTTCATTGGAGAAGAAAAACGAAATTTAATCGCTTGATATTTTCGTAGTAATTAATTCGCTTCTCATTTTTTGTCCTTACCGCGGAGAAATTAACGACAGTCTGTCGCAGCGGCTGCCGAGATTAATTTTTTCAACACCTGTTGTCCATCAGGAAAAAAGCAATTCTGACAGGGCTGGGAGTGGTGGTAAAGGGTTGGACAATGTGCTGACGAATATTAATTAGGATTCTCAGAATGTGTCAACGTCGAGCAACGCGAGACCACGAAAAAATCGCGGTCATTTAAGTTCGACCCAGTTCCCGCGGACCCTCCTTTCGGTGTTCACTCGTAAATTCACGTCTCTCCGGTTCGTTGTCGGAAACAAATGTCTCCCCCCTCCCCTGAAGGGCGAACAGAGTTCGTTGTCGATCGGGTATTTTGCAACGTCGGAGGAAAATATTTATTATTGTCAGTCACGGGTGATGTAACGTGTTCGCGGGACGTTGGGGCCGATCGCGGGAAAAAATGTCGGAAGTTTAGGCGCGCCCCCTCCCGATAGATGCAGCTGTGGCGTTCCGTAAGCCGCGTATGATGCACGCCTACCGCTCGGCAACACCGCCGCGTGCACCGGGTGCATCGGAACTTGTAGCCAGCCTCGTTAATCATGGTCCTGGCTGGATCGAAAAAACGAAAAAAAAAAAAAAAAAAGTCGTAAGTCCCGCGACGCGATCGTGATTCCGATGTTTACTCTTCGTTCACGCTGATACTCGTGTCTATAAATTACTAAGGGATTAAATATTTCTGAAATTACTAACAGCTTTGGTGTCATAGTCATGATGATGTTTCCATTAAATTAGCTACAAATAGGATTAAATGACTAGGATCAACTTTGCAGTGTTCCCTCTCTATAAGCACGCCTAACGGGATTGATATTGAGCCTATAGAGAATAGTGGACATCATTTCGTCATCATTGTATTGCTGACTAGCTCTCCCCTCTTCCTCGTGACGGGTAGAATCAAAGCAAGCCCGCCCACTGTAAGCCCCGCCCACATGAAGCTCCGCCCATCGTCGAGCGGTGGGGCTTACGATGCTCTTACAAAACGTGGTGACAGATATAGTTTCTCGGAGCAACTTGTATCTCACAGAGGGTTCGGAATGTCACGACGAAGACAATGGAACCCTCTGAAAGAACGTGTTCACGCAGAAATTTCGTTGCTTCCGCGTCGAAACTAACGATTCTCCTCGTATCTCCAGGCGCACCTGATGTGTCACGGTTCGCAGCGCGGCTCGAATTTCGAGCCCGCTAACGATTTCGCGCTTTTTTCCCTCCTGTGGTCCGTCGGAAAGTGGAACGTGTACGTTTTCAAAGAAAGAGCTGAAGCTGTCCTAGGAAGCGGCTTTGTCACCGAATCCGACCCCACGTTGTCGTTTTGCGCCGTTACATTAACGAATTCTCGACTATTTCGTGCTCATTGTGCATTGTAGGACACTTTATTGCGCAGGTTGGCCCGACGAAAACCTGAGCCCACGACTAGGCATCACGATTTTTAGCGGACAGAAGAGTACAGTAAATCCTTGATGAGTGTTCGATGGCTCGAGAGGTCCTCAGGTGTAACTCAAACCTTTAGAGGTTTAGCACAGTGATAGAACTTGGAATTGTTTCAGCTGCATATGGTCATTAGTTTATGTAACATTTAACGTTCAGTGCCGAGGAGTCTTCGAGCATTCATCGAGGATTTACTGCACTTCAAACCAGCGATCGGAAATCGTAGTGACATTATCCGTGACGAAGTGGAACGAAATATGTTCACAGAGAGGAAAAAAAGGGGGAGAACGTTTCTCCTGGCACCTTTTCGTCGCGCAGCCGGGTAAAAAAGCTCCACGATAGCGGAAGAAGCCTATCCAGAATCGCGGGCTCGAAGAAACCCCGGCAAAATCCAGGGAAACCCTGAAAAATAGGATTTAGTAAACTCGATGGTGAAAGGGGAAATGGAATAAGTGGAAAGTTTCTGATCCTCGTGGAAGAAATTGCTCGAACGAACGAGATTATTTTCTGGCTCCTCCAGGGGATGGGTGGGTGGGATCTTGGGTGCTCCTTTGACGAGTATCATCTTCATCGTATAAATGGTCGTCGATCCTCGATCGAGGAACTTACCTTTTCTGTCATCCCCTAGTTCCACTACTTGGAAAATTATTGTTTCGCAGAGGCGTGCGTCTTTTTATAGACCATCTGGAATCAAGAAAGCGTGGACCGTGTTTCTTGGAATCCCAAGGACCATGGAATGGGAAGATAAAAAAGGAATCAGAGGAAAGAAGGTGGAAAGGAATAGGAGAGACGTTCCCAAGTCACCTTTCCTCGCAGGCTGGGCTTTAGATGGTGGAAGAGGCAGGAGAGCAACGGTTGTCCTATGGATGGTTACTGTAAAGGAATGTTTCAGCCTCGCACAAACGTCCATTTGTCGCGTTTTCTTGGTTGAATAAAGCGTCCAGGAGGAGGGATGGGGTAAGAACCGCCTGCAACGTCGTATTTCCGTTGGTCCGTGCCTTCGGGGCCTTTCCTTTCGATATCAGTCGGTCTGGATTCACTTGAAGGTTTTTCCTCCTCCTTCGAAAATCTCCGAGGACCAACCGTCCTCTCCCGCTCGGAGCATACTATGAATCGACGACAACTCCTCGGTCCCTTGGCTGCCCTTCGCTTTCCCCGAACGTCGAAATGATATGAGCGTGATTGCTTACTGGGACTATTGTTTGCAAATGTGTACCCTGGTTTTTTGCCGGATAATCGATTTTTCGAACGGAATTTGCTGCCGTTTACTGTTGTGCGTCATGGTCCACCCAATAATCCTTCGACTGGCGATTGTATTTTAAATTGACATAAAATTTGCCGTTAATACCGTGCCAGCACTGGTATATAATATTTTCGTCGATAATATCCTGACAATGCGTGCTAAAACTCTTTACAATTTAACATACGTATTGCATTAACAATACAAACGTATCTGTAGCGGGTAATTTTCCATTTACATGTCGCGTAATATTTCGATATTCGAGCTTTCAGTATGATTTTTTCACGGTACATTTTTTTTTCTGTGTAAACATTATTCTCATGTATCAATGAATCAGTGTGAAATCTACGTGGACGTGGAGCGGATGGAAATTATTTATGCATCAAATTTTCTCCATAGCTCGGTTATTATTCAGTTCCGATTTCCATTGTGTCATTTCTGTGTGCCAAAGCAATGATGGATTTTAATATTTAAAATTTTATTCAATCCGCCCTTTTGTACATTTGTCGGTACAAATTTGTCAGAATTAACAGTTCGATGAATATGGCATAAAAAGGGAACAAAAAACGTGGTATACATATAATATCGAACATCCACGATTGTCTGAAATGGATCGTTTTCAATGGAAGGCTGGAGATCAAAAGAGGAAAGAAATTGCTCGAAAAAATATGGTGTCCAATAATTGACTCCTGCCACTAGCACCTTTAAGGGGTACCTTAATGTTTACGCTGGCTTACGTTTGCCCGGCAAGATGCACCGCTTCGTAAGGGTTCGAGCCACGAACGTGCGCGCCCGCAAGGATAAGTGGCGCAACACGGTCACCATTCGTGGATAATGGGACGGAACGAAGCAGAAAATGGCACATCAAAAAGAAACTGTGACAAAGGGGTAGAAGGGACCCGTTGCCCATCTAATAAAGCAAAGTGCAAAACAGCACTCACGATATTAGGGCTTGTTTCCTCTGACGTCCGACAATTCGTCTAGCTGCATATCGATCTCGATCACTGTGTCTGCAGTCGCAACAACTGGACTCGCATTATTTCTCGGGGCTGCGATGACGTGTGCATCGTGCCACGGTAAATACTTTTTCCAGGGATTATTAAAGTTCACGAGAACCCCGCCCCCGTTTAATCAATTCGCAATGCACGGGTTTTAATTTCTGTTTTAAAGTGTTACCGTTAATCAGTTTAA